GGCTCCTGCGGAACCTGTTCTTCCTCTAAGTCTGACGTACACCAGAGAAAACAGGTGTACGTCAGCGTGTATGGCACACGACAAGACCCCACAAAACAAATAGAACGAACGAAAACCCAAGCAGAAAACGATACGATATCAGAAATGACAAAAGAACGTGCAACTGGAAATCCAACAAAACCGACATGCGATAACACTACTAAAACATGATAATCAGAAGAATCCAAAAATCGAACAGGTAATGAGGCCATGCAGCTAGCGATCAGAAACAATCATACAAGTCACAAGGTCATACAACTAGATGGAATTAATACTTAAAAATCTACAACTCGAGACGTAGTACGTCGAGCGAAATAATCCAAACAAGGAAACCCTCATGTATATACCATATGTATCGAATTGTAAATAATTAAATATTAATCCCGATCTATGTATGAAAAGAACAACACTGGTCTACATCTCAACAAAACTAACAAAGTCCACCATAAAACACGCAAGCATGTTATTCTTGTTTTACATGTTATTTGAATTGAGGAAGAATATTTTGATGTATATAATCGGGTCCCCGTAAAGTCGTCCGGGGGCCGCCTTCAAGTCAAGTATTGGCCCTCTGGCCCATATATATAACACTCACGATATCATGATAACAGGAAAGCGCTGTGCCCGTTTATATACATGCTATATTCTCCGTCCAATTCCCCTTTATAACCCCATGTTTGTCATATTAATTACGCAACTGTACATGAAATATTGTGCACTAGCCAGGAGTTATCGTGGAACGACTTCTGTAAAACTATGAAAATAACCGTGACCCGTTACACGTCCGATCAAGAGTGCATAGTCTAGTCAATGCTATAATAATAATAATAATAATAATAATCAAGGAAACCTCATACCGGGATATCGATATCGAGGGAACTCGGGACTCCTCACATCGGGATATCGATGTCGAGTGAGTATAGTCATGCATGCTTTGAAGCACGCTTATAAATCATACTTTTTAACAGAATCTGTCTTCATGTACAGTCTCTCCTATTGGATAACAACTAAGTGATAACACAACAAGCTTCCACACAGCTATTCATGTCAAGCAATCCCACGCAGGTAATAATATATCACAGACTAATCTAATTAACCAATTACTAACAAATATAAATATTGAAATAGCAAGTCAATAAGTAATGGGATCTTGCCTCGAGGTATTGTCGAACGAATCGAGGCTGAGGGTGCGGATCGGGTCTGCGGGGTCTCGGCGACGCTCGTCGGCGACAAGGGGGTGGACTGGGACTGAGCACGGCACAGTGGCGTCGACGGAAACTTGGGGTTTGAGCGGGAGGTAGCGACACGGATC